GAATTCGGGGAGGGGTCCGGGGGTCCGGGGTTGTCCCGGGGGGGGTCTCGGGGTTATCCCGGGGGGGTCCCGGGGGTCCCAGCCGGCTGCGGGCGCAGGTGGTGGAGCTGCGCTTCGGCAAGTTCGACGTGGAGCCGGACCCGCACTGCCGCTACGACTACGTGGCCGTGTTCGAGGGGGGGGCGCGGGACGACGCGCGGCGCCTGGGGCGCTTCTGCGGGGAGGAGACCCCCGGGTGAGCCCCCAGACCCGCGCGGGCCCCCCCAGACCCGGGGGAGCCCCCCCAGTTCTGTCAGAGCCCCCCCAAACCGCCCCAACCCCGGGTGAGCCCCCAAATTCGGGTCAGCCCCGCCAAATCCCTGTGAGCCCCCCCAAAACTGCCCCGAGTGAGGGTGGGCCGGGGCCGACAGGGGAAACTGAGGCAGGGAGTGCCCAAAAAGTTCTGGAGAATTCTCCCAAATCATGCGGGGAAACTGAGGCAGGGAGTGTGAAAACCATGAGGGAAACTGAGGCAGGGAGAGCCCAGGGTTGGGAGGGGAAACTGAGGCAGGGAGTGCCCAAATCGTGAGGGGAAACTGAGGCAGGGAGTGCCCAAACCGTGAGGGGAAAGTGAGCCTGGGATGCCCAAACCGTGAGGGGAAACTGAGGCACGAGTGCCCAAACTGTGAGGGGAAAGTGAGGCAGGGAGCACCCAAATCCACGAGGGGAAACTGAGGCACGGAGCCGCAGCCCCGCTGACCCCTCTCCGTGCGTGAGGGGAAACTGAGGCAGGGAGTGCCCAAATCATGAGGGGAAACTGAGGCAGGGAGTCTGAATAATTCTCCCAAATCATGAGGGGAAACTGAGGCACGAGTGCCCAAACTGTGAGGGGAAACTGAGGCAGGGAGTGCCCAAACCGTGAGGGGAAAGTGAGCCTGGGATGCCCAAACCGTGAGGGGAAACTGAGGCACGAGTGCCCAAACTGTGAGGGGAAACTGAGGCAGGGAGCACCCAAGTCCACGAGGGGAAACTGAGGCACGGAGCCGCAGCCCCGCTGACCCCTCTCCGTGCCCGCAGTGCTGGCCGGCACGGTGCGGGCGCTGTCGCGGGCCCCGGAGCCGGGCTGGGCCGCGCTCTCCGTGCTCGGCCTGCACAAGTGGGGGGCTCCGGGGGTCCCCCCGCCCGCCGCGGGCTCCTCGCTGCGGCTGCAGCTGCCCTGCCGCTCCTGCCCGGCGCTCAGGAAAGGTGCGTGTGCCCGGGGGGCGCCCGCGGGGCCCGGCGCGCCCGGCCCGGCCCTGACGCCCCCTCCCCAAATTCCCCGCAGGCTCCAGCTACCTCCTGATGGGGCGGCTGGCGCCCGACGGGGCGGCCCTGCTGCCGCCCGACGCCTTCGTGGCGCCCTACCGGCCCCAGCAGCACCCGCAGCTGCTGGGGAACCTCGGCAAGCGGCCGTGCCGCGGGACCCCCTGAGACCCCCGGGGACACCCCCGGGGAGACCCCCGCCCGCGCCGGGGGGCGGCTCGCCCGCGAATAAACGGTGCACAGACGGAGCGTGTGAATGGAGGTGCTGCGGGGAGGGTCGCATTCAAAGGGAGACCCCGAAACTGGGGCTGGAAATGCGCCCCCTCCCCATTTTTGGGACCCCCGCGTTTAAGTGGCGCGGCGCCTTTAAGAGGGGAGGAGGGCGGGGCTGGAGGCTCGGGGCGTGGCCTCCGCGCCTTCCCTGCTTGTCAATCACTGCTGATGGGTGGAGCCGCCACGCCCCCCGGCCGAGCGCGGGGTTTTTGTTGTCCCGCCTCCCCGCCCGACGCGATTGGTTGGATGCACGTCAATCTCCCGCTCCTCAATTTCCATTGGGTGATGGCGCCGAGGTTTCCGCGGGCGTTGCCAGGCAACGGGCTGCTCGCTGTCGCTCGCGATTGGTGGAGATTATGCTCTAGCTGTGATTGGCTGCAGTTGGGCAGCGCCCCCACGATGCTCGACGACGATTGGTTCAACCTGCCCGTCAATCAAAGAGCAAACTTCCGCACTTCTCCGGGCAGAGCCCCCCGCTTGCCCTCTCCGATTCGCCGCCTCCCGCGCGCCCCTTCCTCCGATTGGCTGCCGCCCTGGCCCCGCCCCCGTGGCGGGGTCCGGAAGCGTCCCGGGCTCAGTCTGGCAGCGGCGGCCGCGGCGAGCGGAGCTCCGGGGCCGCCATGGCCGCGGCGGCGCTGGGGGCTGTCCCGGCCGAGCCGCCGCCGCCGCCGGGCCGCCTGCCCGGAGGAGCCGGCACTGAGCGCGCCCTGGAAGAAGCAGAGGCCTCCGGCACGCTCAGCCTGGCCGGCCGGCGGCTGCGCGCCTTCCCGGCGGCGGCGGCGCGGCGCTGGGACCTCAGCGACACCACCCAGGCCGGTGAGGCCGCGGCGGCACCCGCCACCCTTCCCCTCGGCGCGGCGTCCCTCGGGGCGCTTCCCGTGCGCCGAGCTCCGGCCGGGCGGCTCGGGCTCCGTCCGCAGCGCTGTCCCTGCGTGTCCCCTGTCCTCGTTAGCCCCATTCCCTGAGGTTCCCTACCCCGAGCGTGTCCCACCCGCTCCCCAGACCTGTCGCGGAACCGCTTCGGCGAGGTGCCGGAGGCCGCCTGCCGCCTGCCCTCGCTGGAGGGGCTCAGCCTGCACCACAACTGCCTGCGCAGCGTCCCGCCGGCCATCGCCAACCTGCAGGCCCTGGCACACCTGGACCTCAGGTACGCTCCGTGCCCTCGGGGACCGCGGGCGGAGCGCTCCGGCAGCGCCCCGTGACCGCGCCGTGTCCGCCCGCAGCCGCAACCAGCTGAGCTCGCTGCCCGCCTGCCTGTGCCTGCTGCCCCTGCGCGTCCTCAACGCCAGCAACAACCGGCTGGCCGCGCTGCCGCCGAACCTGGGCGCCCTGCGCACGCTGCGGCAGCTGGTGAGCCTGGGCCGGGCCGCAGCCCCGCGCGGCAGCGCCCCGCGCCCGCTGAGCGCCCCGTTCCGCCCCGCAGGACGTGGGCTCCAACCGGCTGCGGGCGCTGCCGCCGGGGCTGGGGCAGCTGCGGGCGCTGCGGGACCTCAGCGTGCGGCGGAACCAGCTGGCGGCGCTGCCCGACGGTGAGTGGGGGTCCTGTGGGGAGGGGGCTGCTGGAGCTCCCCGGGGGGATCCAGCGTGTCCCCCCACGCCGGCAGAGCTGTCGGAGCTGCCGCTGGTGCGGCTGGATTTCTCCTGCAACCGGGTGGTGGCGATTCCGCGCTGCTTCCGCCGGCTCCGGCACCTGCAGACGCTGCTGGCCGACAACAACCCGCTGCAGTTCCCCCCCGCCCAGGTGAGGGGGACCCCGGGGGGCACCCCCGACCCCCCAGAACCCCGGCTGAGCCCTCCGTGCCCCCTCCCCAGATCTGCCTGAAGGGCAAAGTCCACATCTTCAAGTACCTGGAAGCCGAGGCTGCCGCCCATGCTCCGCCGGCGTGGTAAGGGGGGGCTGGAGGAGGGGGTTTTTGGGGGGTTTTTTGGGGGGTCTCTGAGCGCTCTGTGCCCCCCGCAGCCCCCCGGACGAGCCGTGTCCCCTCCGGCAGAGGGGGGGGCTGGACTCCGGCTTCCACAGCGTGGACAGCGGCAGCAAGCGCTGGTCAGGGAACGAGGTGGGATTTGGGGGGGATTTGGGGGCGTTTTGGGGGGGATTTGGGGTGTCCCCCCACCCATTTTCCCTTCCTTGGCACCGTTTCAGTGCACAGAGGAATCCTCGGAGCAGGAGTCGAGACGAGTCCTTGGGGCAGGTGAGGGGAGGGGGATCCCCAGAGCCCCCCGGGACCCCCTGGCACCTTCTGGGGACCCCCCGTCACCTTTTGGGGACCCCCCTGTCCCCACAGCTGGTGACAGTGACCCGGAGCAGCTGGAGGAGCAGCCCTGGCCCGAGGTGATGTCCCCCCCCCACCCCTCTCTGATCCCCCCCTCTCGGGTTTTGGGGTCCCCCCACCCCAAATCC